TTCTCAAGGATGTGGTCAATCCCCGCAGGGTTTTGATCATCTTCGCTTCAGCTTCACTTTCTTTGGTCGCACAGGTTACGATATTTTCTGGCCACATACGATTATCTTCAAGCCAATCGATCTGGTCCATTTAACCACAGTTGGTTGTCTTTCACTTGGCCACCTCTGCTTCCCACAGCAGGATTGCAATCGGTCGGAACATAGCGCCACTGTTAGGCGCCATATGTTAGGTTTTGACAGGATCTTTTGAATTCTATTGGCTACGAACTGTTTATGCTCTCCCCCGCCCTTTATCCAGTGTAGCGCCACTGTACTGTCGAGCCAACCATACTTTTCTTGCACAGGAAATCCATCCAGGGTTTGTCGCACGTTGTCTACGAGGTTGGACGCCATGTGTGCAGAGACCAACTCTAGCCTGGGTATTGTCAATCCGTGTTTCGCCAATCTCGCCTTCGCTGCTACTAGGCCTTGCGTTGTACCAGAGGGTTGGTTAACCACAGCATAAACAACGGCTACTACATCCTTGCCACTTGCGTCACCGAAGGCATGCAATACAATTGACTCGATGTCCTCCTGGAAGGTGGGTATTGAACGTGGCACAGCTATGTGGCCCATTTGAGCCAATCATTCTTTTGCTCGGCAGATAACGGAGCATCCCACGATATCTTCTTCTCACACACTTCACGATAAATTATCTTCCCTTGTAAAGTTCTTGGTGATAACAGTCCGAGGGGATCATATATTCGAGCCAGTTTGCTCAAAATCCCACGCTTGGTTGTAGTAACTTCCCCCAAGGGAACAACGACTTTTAACTCATCTTTAACTTTTGACCAAGCTAGTCCCAGAATGCTAGCTTCTCCTTCACTGGGTGTTCCAAGTTGTTGCTTCGCAAATGTTTTCTCTTCATTGTCGCTCGTCGTTTCTTCCGACTCTCGTCTGTTCGAATGCCACTTGTTACCAAGTCCTACTTGGTAGCGAATTGACACACGAAAATAAGCTACATCAAGAGCTTTTAAAAAATTAATATCTCTTTATTTCAATTTACGTAGAAAACAGTTTGTAAATGCATGCAACACGAAAATATATATCAATTAACAAAATGGCAGCTGAATTTATGCTTATTGCTAGCAAAGTCACGTGACCGGAAATGTACGCCGGAAATCACATTCCGGATGTGGGAAACGGTAGCTTCACCAACCCCTAAATAGTCATCATACTATTTACTTAAAGAATAGCTACCAAAAAAAATCAATCCAAGCAAATTCAAATTTTAAGTTAGTTATAGTCATCCGAATCCAATTCCAGAAAACATAACTTGTAAACAGGACGTGTTAAAATGGTAGAGCTGACTTTATACTCTCCTTTTCGTTGTCGCTTAGCTTTGGTTGCCACAGATGAACTGGTCTTCACGCGGACAGTACGAGCATACCCATCTCGGCTCGTTAGAACTTCGGTAACTAGACCAAGAGGTCATTGTCCCCTCGGGAAAGTCTCGTCAGCCAACAAAACTAAATCACCAACTTTCATATTTCTTCTTGGCACGGTCCATGTCTTTCTTTCAAACAACGTTGGTAGATATTCCTTCGTCCATCTTCGCCAGAACAATCCCGCTAAATACTGTGCTTGTCTCCATGCGCGTTTGGATTTCAGGTTTTCCTTGCTAAACAACCCTGGGGGTAATGCCGTAGTCGGTCGTAGATGCAATAAATGATTAGGAGTTATGGGTTCGTCGTCCAAAGGACTGTCGCTATTTCGTGTTAGCGGCCTCGAATTTAAGATGCTCGTCACTTCCGCCATCACTGTCAAAATAACTTCATCAGTTACAATATGCTCTTTCAAAATATCCTGGACGCAAAACTAATTAATCTTGTGTTGATTCCAATCCTCCATCGCTTGATTTAGCTCCTTATTTCCACAGACGAAGTTTGTACCACGATCACTTCTTAGCAGTTCTGGGCATCCACGAATACAAATAAACCTGCGGAGTGCGTTTATCATGGAATCCGTATCCAAGGAGTGTGTTATCTCAATGCATAGCTATGCTCAATGTGAACTGCACCGTGTTGTTAAACATGTGAAGATACATCCGTAGCGCTTGCAACGTATCTTTTCACTTTCACTTGTAGGGATCCAAAATAATCTGTACCAACATATGTGAACGCTGGCTTGTCTGGAGTTATTCGATCCTGCGGTAAGCTAGCCATATACTGATCTGACAATTTAGCCTTTCCTCGTTGACAGTCAATACAATACTTAATCACGCGTCGAACAGCAGATCTTCCTTTGATGATCCAAAATTCCTGTCGCAGAGAAGAGAGAACCGATTCTTGACCCATATGACCAACGATTATATGATAGTAACGAATGATCATGTCGGTTATGTGGTGTTTGTAAGGCAGGATAATAGGGTGTTTCGCTTGATCATCTAATTGGGCATAATCCAATCTCCCTCCAACGCATAATAAACCTTCTCAGAATTGGACTTAGTTGATGAAGTGACGTTCCCGCCTTTCGAAGCATCTTCTTTGTTGTGGCTGCTGGACGATTGGAATTAGACAATAACTGAAATACAGCTGGAAACGCAGTGAGCTGAACACGTTTGAGAATTTCTCTTTCCGCTCCATCTAATTCGCTCAATGTTAAATATCCAAAGTATCTTCTTTGATGTTCAGATGACGTT